ATATCACTTTGTGACGAATATTACCTGTGAGGATCGTGGGGTGATCCCAAAAGTGAGCTGGCCCTTGTGGTCATTGTAAGGAGGTGAGGGGGCATTTTGGCCACTGAAGGATTTCCATCATTGCTATGACCACGTATACGTCATCACTTGCATGACTTAAAGTTGAAGCATGAGTGTCATTTTTTCATTTATATTTTGACTTTTTTTTGGCCTTTTTTGGACTTTTGATTAATAGTTACACATTTGTTTATGTGTGTCACGATCGCACGGTCGCCGGCACCAACATGCGACAATCGCATGACCACGACCCGCCCGAGGCGTCAGACCCCAGACCTTCTCACCAAGCTCGTGACCGATAGACCGGCCGATCTAAAACTGCGGTGTGACGCGCGTAACAAGGCCACACCCAGCTGCACCCAGCACAGCGATTGCCCATCTAATGGACTACAATCGGTGCCTGCAGCTTGAATGCACTTGTTACTGGGTCGGGTTAATTACGCACTAACCCTTTCAAACTGCCACCACCACTTTTTAAAAAAGGAGATTGGGAAGCTCCCGTTATCAAATATTCACTATAATGATTGAAAAGTCACCTGTCCAATATGGTCAACTACAGGCTGATTGGGCAGGGAGTAAACAAACACAGTAGCGTTTCTTCAGAAGGCAGGAATTTGAATTGCAAGTGAGCGTTTAAAAACAGTTTAACACTTTCAGAAAGAAAGATTTATTACTAAAAGAGTCAAACAGGTGCAAAAAAATATTTACAAAAAGATGTCACAAAAATATATATATATATGGATATAAAGATACAGCAAAGAGGTAATAGGAAAGAAGTTACAGGGCTAAGTTACTTGCCAATTCAAGCCTTGGTTTGTAAGCAGATCCACGGTGCAGAGCAGGAAGGTTCTTTGATCTCCACCTTGGATGTTAGCTGGGAGATCTGTTACACTCTAACTCGCAGACTTGCTAGCCTGTCTCTTTTTAAAAATCCCTCTGAAAGGGGGGATACTCTCACTACGCTGTGTTGGGAGGGGTCAGGGGAACTCTGAATTAAACTAACAGCTTCATACTCCATGATATGAAACATACAGTTGACCTGAGGAATGTTCAATTACTGCTGGTCAGTTTTATGATGTGTGGGCTTACACAGTTTTGGGTCAGTGCTTCCCAATTCTCTGAGAAATGCTGGCCTTATCAGAACGTAGGTGAGAAAGGTTACATTTTCCCCAGACTGCTGGCACCAAACCAGGGATGCCTTCACCTGTGTTGACCCCCCACCATCTGTCACTGAGGAGATAACGTTTGCCTCTCAGGAAGGGAGGGGGTAGGGAATGAGGGCTGAGGAATAGAAAAAGGGGAATCTGATGAGCAAGTTTGCTACAATGTGGATCATTTTATGTGGTCTAGTGTGATTTGTTGCACATATCACTTTATATATATAGGCACATATTCCCATAATAGGGGATCCACCTTCTATTAATTACACTATAATTTGTGTGTGATTCATCCCTCAGTTGTGGATAGGGGGTTTGTGGTTTCATTATTTTGTACTTTTTTTACAAGATTCATTTCTTGTTTTCACTTTGCCACTATATCTCATTATTAGATCCTGGAAGGATCTTATCACTGTATTTTGAAATATTCACCATTATATGTTATTATTTATTGATGTATATTTTTTAGTAGCGCTACACTATTTATTTATTATATTTAGTTTCACTTACCGATTGGGTATAGGTTTGGGTGTCAGCTGCTTAGGGTAGGGATCATCCATTTTAGCGCAGGAGGATCCAGTATTATTATAAGGAGCTGACTGTTACTATGCACAGCTGCACCAGAATTTGTGTGTACCAATTTTAGTAAATCTTCACCAATGGCTTCATACACTTCCATAAAAACTGCGAAAATAATGATACAGCCAGCCTGGATGGACCATTCTGTTGTTTTTCTGTGTTTGTATTCCATACACATGAATTCTCTTCTGTTCATTCTGTTCTGTTCACTGTTTCTTGTACTGGTTGATTATGACAGTCTTTATACTCTTCTGGTGAATATCCAACATAAAAGAATAATATAATAATGTTAGTGAAGTAGGTAAAAAGATTTAAATATGAAGCTTGTCACTCACACACCTGTCAATATTCAGCTTTCACGCCCAGTTCACACTTGTGTGGACTGTGCGGTCCGTGTTTGCTCGGGCACGGCAGCCCATTCATTTGAATAGGCAGCTGCCAGGGCCGCATGCCCTGCACAAAAAATGTGCATGCACCTTTTTAAAAACGTGGCCACAGGGAAACTGCATAGTCTTTTGACCATATGGTTTCATTGCGGTTCCTGCACCTGCGACTGCGCTGCAGGTTGTGTGGGGGTGCCATTCAGAATGAATGGCAGTCTTGTGCATCGCACAAGAGCAGCACAATTCAGCTGCGGGTGATTGAGAGTGCGGGAACAGGCCGATTTCTGCACCTGCAACCAGCCTGAGGGCTAGCGTGAACCCAGAATCAGCGCACAAAACAACCAAACTGATCAAGGCCAACCACAACCAACAATTTAGAGCCTTTGGCTGTATTAATAAAAAAACTGTCAGTGATAGGTTGCATGTACAGTAACTGTAAGGGCATTGTTGAAGCAGCTTGAAAATCCCTGTGTTTGTTCAGCATAACAATCCGCTGGTATTTCTATTATCTATACATATTTTACGTTCAGATATGATGTTTGACCCAGTACAGCATTTTGTAACTATATATATGTACATATACACACACACACACAGATATATACATACATATATACACGCACATACATACAAACACACACACACAGTACATATGAAAGAGAGAAATAGAGAGGCTACCCACAGCTACTGAAAACTAAAATGAATGGTCTTCCTTATTGTTGTTAATGCCCTATTAAAACCAGATATGGCAGTATCTACCACAGAAACAGTCCCTTTTTACATGGAGCTCTCCTCTATTACTCAGCAAAACATTTAGGAGGAGCATATAACTTTTCAGGGCCAGTCACCACATAGGATAGGCTCTATGAGCGAGTGGACTGGGAAAGACTCAACAGACTTGGGCAACTGAAGAGACCCCATGCATAGACTGACCCAGGAGGGGAGGCTGAAGAAGCTCACCTTTGACCACTATTATCTTGTATTGGATAATCCTCCCTGTATACTGTAAGTAGGAGGAAGTCTGTGTGGCCATAGAGCCAGCGGAGTGCCCGAGGGGAAGTTAAGGAATCAAATTGAGGGCACCTATTTGAACAGAGAGGACTAAAGCCCTATGGAGATAAACTATCACCCCCCCGCCCCTAACACACACAGAGTCATGTGCCAAGTATGAGCTAGCAGGGCCATCTGACATCCTACCCCTGTGATTGTGATCCGCCATGTGCAGTGCAAAGGGTATCCACAGAGGGGTACTCAAGACTTCACTGTTGTGGAAAGGGAAAGGTTAAGCTTTCTGTGCCAGGCACTGTAGGCTGCTAAATCCAGATACACTTTCAAGAATCACTGAGCTTTACAGTGGAGGGATCTTTACTTGTGTCAACCTAAAAGTGTACATAGAGAAAAAAAGATGGCGTACACATGCCTGGTGAAGTGGCTGAAGACAAGGCACAGTGCTGCCCAATAGGACAGATTTGCACCAGAAAAATGTCCCTCTACATTGGGCATACAGTACCTTGAAAAAGTATTCATACCCCTTGAAATTTTCCACATTTTGTCATGTTACAACCAAAAAAATAAATGTATTTTATGGGGATTTATGTGATAGACCAACACATGTGGCATGCATTTGTATTCAGCCCCCCTGAGTCAGTACTTTTTAGAACTACCTTTCACTGCAATTACAGCTGCAAGTCTTTTTGGGGATGTCTTTGCACATCTAAAGAGTGAAATTTTTGCCCATTCTTCTTTGCAAAATAGCTCAAGCTCCGTCAGATTGGATGGACAGAGAGAGAGGGGGGGGAGAGAGAGAGGGGGGGAGGGGGAGAGAGGGAGAGAGAAAGGGGGAGAGGGAGCAAGAGAGAAAGGGGGGGAGAGAGAGGGGAGAGATGGAGAGAGAGGGAGAGAGGGGTGGGAGAGAGAGAGAGAGGAGGAGAGAGGGGGGGAGAAAGAGGGGAGAAAGAGAGAAAGAGAGGAGGGAGAGAGGGAGGAAGAGAGGAGGGGGATAGAGAGAGCGAGAGAAAGAGAGGAGGGAGGGAGAGAAAGAGAGGAGGGAGAGAGCGAGAAAGAGGAGGGGGAGAAAGAGAGGAGGGAGGGAGAGAGAGAGAGAGAGAGGAGAGGAGAGAAATGGAGAGAGAGAGAGGGGGGGGGGGAGAGGGAGGGAGGAGAGGAGAGAGAGGGAGGAGAGAGAGAGGGAGGAGAGAGGGGGGAGGGAGAGAGGAGAGAGAGACAGCAGTTAGAGCAATCTTGTGATTTCTATCAGTATCCAGCTGAGCACCGGTTAAAGCTTGTAGGAAGAGTTTTCTTTCTGTTCTAGGAGGATGTGAAACCTCTGACCCTCTGTCTGGAAAGTGCTGATTGTGCTGATCACATGCACTCTCCCAAGAGAAAAAAAAAAAACTTCTCTAGCAATACACACCAAACTTAGCATGTGCCTACAGATTCAGTCTGTATCAGGCGGTCATTTCAATAAGAGGAGGGGCAGAGAAGAAGGGATCAAACAGCCTTTTTACACAATGCAGAGGATTAACCCCTTAGGTTCCACAGTGAGTATAACAAGCATGCTTTACTGCATATACAGACTGATTTTACTTTTGTGGGTTTAGTAACACTTTAAAGTAGAAGTTCAGTCAAACATTAACTATACCTAAAACTGCTCCCACCTCCATTCTAAAGCTGGTCATAGATGAATTGCGATCTATGGCCAGGCTGGTTGTACTGAAGCTGATCTATCGATGCTCCCCCTGAACATGGACATACATGCATGTTTATAAAAATATTTTTCAGCAGTTTGATTATACCTGCAGTATAATCTAGTGACTATCGGTAGCTATTGAGTTGTAATAAGTGAAGCATAAAAGAAAAATCCTTCTACACAACTAATAGGCTGAAGGAAGAAACTGCATGTGGTATGAGTAAATATGTCCGCCTCCAAGTACATATATGGTTTGTAGTTTGACTTACTTTTCCTAATGCCATCTTTTAAATATAAAATCAACAGTATTATGACTAAAGGTAAAGTACACAAGCGGGGATAATAGCAAGATGACGCCTCCGATCCACACAAACAGAATTCGAATTGAATGTTCCCTGCATGGATTGCACTTGATCCAGTTCACTGCACCTACAGGAGACATGACATTATTGACATGCATGTGAATAGTATATATACAGTACATTCTGTTAGGCTGAGCAGTTGTAAATTGCACAACACAAATTACCAATGCATAATACAAGGATACAAAGCTCTATTTGACGCTTTGAAATAGTATCATTCGGTTTACACCTCCAGTGCCCAACATGTGGGGCAAGGGTCACATGCACCCCTTAGGCATTTATTGTGAGGCCCTGGGGCCCCTGCAGACAGTAGTCTATGTTTTTCTTACCGGAATGTTTACTCAGGTCAGTGAAGAGAATCTGTTCTTCTGACTGGGTTCTATTTGTTAAGCCTAGGTTCACACAATGAATTGCAGACGAATTGCACAGGAATCGAATTTACATGTGTTTCAGTGCTGTGCGATTTGAGCGCATTCATTGTGAATCGCACCACAACACACCAGAGTAGTGCATGCACCAATTTTAGAAATGCACTGCAACCAGATTGCATGGTTGTTTTGTACAACGCGATCTGGTGCAGGCAAATGCACTGCATTGCAACCTGCGTTTGGGGGGGGTGTTGTTAGCACTGCCATGACACCTTCTGCAGATCGCAAGGGCAGTGCGATTTGAAAATAGTGTGGGAAACTCAAATGGATTGCACCGTGTTCTAGTGTGAACCTGGGCTAACTGGTTTGGTCTATTTATTTCACACTATGTTACTTTTTTCTGTGTTGTCCATTCAAGTTTCTCTTTTTATGAATATTTTCTCTGATCTTTTATAATGATTTTACTAAGAGAAATATCAAACGTGACATAAGACATTTTTAAGGGGGGCTGTAGGGAGCACAAAAATTGAATCAGTGATTTGTAAAGGGGGTGTAATAGCAGTAATCTCTAGTGTAACATGTCTTGGGCTTATGTTTTCTAAAGCATGTCCCCAGTCTCCAGCATCACCTATAGTATGTCTGTCATCATGGACCAAGAAAGTGGACATCACTGGTTTACAGTGTTATTCAACATACATCTATCACATTAAAGTGATCTATTATGCTTGCCAACACATTTTACAATATTTTTGTACAACGAAAATATGCTGATTGTAAGATGTTTTTTATTATTGCAATACACAGCAAAATTGGAGAAATCTCACACACATACAAAGATTTCACTTTCCACTGGCTTCATGTACTGCAATATATATATATACACACACATACATACATACACACTGCTCAAAAAGATTAAAGGAACACTTTGCAAACACATCAGATCTCAATGAGAAAAAATATCATGCTGGATATCTATACTGATATGGACTGGGTAATGTGTTAGGAACATAAGGATGCCCCATCGTCTGATGGAAATGAAAATTATCAACGTACAGAGGACTGAATTTAAAGACATCCTGAAAATCAAAGTGAAAAAATTATGCAGCAGGCCAGTCCATTTTGCTGCAATTTCATTGCAGCAACTCAAAATGGTGCTCAGTAGTTTGTGTGACCTTAACGTGTTTGTATGTATGCATGCCTGACAACATCGGGGCATGCTCTTAATGAAACGACGGAGCATTACTGAGTTCCTGGACAGTCTGAGGTGCACCCTGGCAGCTTTGGATGGACCGAAACATGATATCCCAGAGGTGTTCTATTGGATTTAGGTCAGGTGAGTGTGGGGGCCATTCAATGGTATCAATTCCTTCGTCCTCCAGGAACTGCCTGCATTCTCTCGCCACATGAGGCTGGGCATTGTTGTGCGCCAGGAAGAACCCAGGACCCTCTGCACTAGCGTAGGGTCTGACAATGGGTCCAAGGATTTCATCCCGATACCTAATGGCAGTCAGGGTGCCACTGTCTAGCCTGTAGAGGTCTGTGTGTCCTTCCATGGATATGCCTCCCCAGACCATCCCTGACCCATCACCAAAACGGTCATGCTGAACAATTTTACAGGCAGTACAATGTTCTCCACAGCTTTTCTAGACCCTTTCACGTCTGTCACATGTGCTCAGGGTGAACCTGCTCTCATCTGTGAACAGCACAGGGCGTCAGTGGTGAACCTGCCAATTCTGGTGTTCAATGGCAAATGCCAATTGAGCTCTATGGTGCTGGGCAGTGAGCACAGGGCCCACTAGAGGATGTCGGGCTCTCAGGCCACCCTCATGAAGTCTGTTTTTGATTGTTCGGTCAGAGACATTCACACCAGTGGCCTGCTGGAGGTCATTTAGTAGGGCTCTGGCAGTGCTCATTCTGTTCCTTCTTGCACAAAGGAGCAGATACCGGTCCTGCTGATGGGTTAAGGATTTCTACGGCCCTGTCCAGCTCTCCTAGAGTAACTGCCTGTCTCCTGGAATCTCCTCCATGCTCTTGAGACTGTGCTGGGAGACACAGCAAACCTTCTGGCAATGACACGTCTTGATGTACCATCCAGGAGGAGTTTAAATGCCTGTGCTGCCTCTGTAGGATCCAGGTATGGCCTCATGCTACCAGTAGTGACACTGACCCTAGCCAAATTCAAAACTAGTGAAAAACAGTCAGAAAAAAATGAGTGGGGAAAAAAATGTCAGTGGCCTCCACCTGTAAAACCATTCCTGTTTTGGGGGTCGTCTCATTATTGCCCATCTAGTAGACCTGTTATTAATTTCATTAACACCAAAGCAGCTGAAACTGATATTAACAACCCCCTCTGCTACTTAACTGACCAGATCAATATCCCAGGATTTTAATTGACTTGCTGCTATACTCTGATTAAAAATAACCTTCAAGCAACACAAAAAATATACTTTAAAGACCAATGTGCAATCTTCACTACTGTCAGCCCTACAGGCAAAAGTATGGAAAGCAAAACAATGAGAGAACTACACTACAATCTCAGCTGATTGGTTATACAAGTATCCACTAGAAACAATAGTACATTACTATAAGTATCATTGTGATTATTAGAAAACATTAAAGCTGAACTCTGGGCTCAAAAAGCATTCATTCAAATATATTCAATAATAGCCAAAAAGGATATAAATCTGCTTTGTGTGCACCACATGCTTTTGAAAGCCCAGATATTACTTTGTAAAAGTAGCAGTGGCATCATCATTGTGCTGCACATAGCCTATGCAGAGCAGAGCTGTGAGTGGGACCCATAAAATCCACTGCCTGCAGAAAACTACAGGAAAGGGTGGATGCAAGACCAGTTACCCTGCCCAGGGAGAGAGCAGCAGTGACTGGTCTTTATAACAAGAAGCTCCAGCACAAAGGGCTGGTGCTAGACTATTTTGCATCCTAAGCAAGACCAGCTACTTATTTTTTTTTTCACAAAAAAAAAAAGCCTTCAAAATTTTTTGCCTGTTCATGTGGAGACTCACTGGGGAGCTGGGAGGAAGTGATGTGTGCAGCACGGCACCTCATTGGCTGGATACCTCTTCTTCGCAGATTGGCTGAAGTTTGCAGGTGATGGCTTAGGCTCCAGCTAATATCATCCAATCTTGTCTGGGGACAGTAACACCAGGACTCATAAGTGACGTTTTACACGTTGCTTCCACGCCATTTACAGGAAGGGGAGATCAATGAACATGTGCTCGCTGATTTCCCTCCCTTTAAACCAGTGGCGCCCGCCATGCAGGTCCCAGGTCTACTGATGGGTGGCATGGAAGTGATCTGGAGGCTGCACAGCATTGAATCGTTTCCACCTGACAGTCAGCCTGTCAGATTTACACACACTCAATGAGATGCTTCCTGATAGTTCTTATTTACACTTGTGTTTGAGGGACATTAAAAATGTGTGGCTGAGCCACACTTTTACCATCCCCTAACCAGTCCTCATTATGCTGCAAAGGCACTGCCACTGTAGTACGGTGGCGAGGGGTTTACACAACACCCCCCCTATTGCCATACTATGGTGGCAGTGCCTTTGCAGCACAATAAGGACTGGTTGGGGGATGGTAAAACTGTAGCTCAGTTGCACATTTTTAATGCCCCTCAAACACAAGTGTAAATGAAAACAGTAAGCATCTCACTGTGATTATATGATCGTCATCAATGACATGATGATCACACAGTACAGAAGGTGCTGTATGTCTGTCTGTGTACAAGGTATGGCTGTACTGCCCTAGGCGCCTGGGGCCGTGGCTGCACCCTAGGTGGCAGTAAGTCCTAGGCAGCTGCCTAGTTTGCCTTAAGGTAGCACCAGCCCTGCCTGCACATATGGCAAAATGCAGCAGCTGTTTCACTCTGGATTACTGCACAGATCTAGAAAAAATACACAAAGGACTCCAATATTCCAGTAAGAATACCCATGCCTCTCGTATTTAGACAATATTTGCGTATCACAGCTTCCAGCTTTAAAGGAAACATACTTAGTCCATGCTTGGCAGGTGATTGCCATATTCTCAGTACTGAAGTGACCAGGGGGGCAGTCTTCACACTCATGATCTGTTTTTGTGGTTCCTATTTAAAATGAAAAAAAAAACAAAAACAACCACATTGTAATATATTTGTAAGATATAATTACTGCACTTTTATATATAAAAAGAACACAATATAATTTGTACTTTATCACTTTGCATGCACAATGACCACTTCAACACACATTAGAAATGTACACTACCATGTGTGTGAAAACCTTTTAAAATACAAAGGCGTGATGGGGTTGATTTTCCAGTAAATAGTCCAAGGGGTCCTGTATGTATGTGCAGCTTTATAAAATGTTGATTGGTTTTTGCTCCTGTAATGCTGGGAGTGAGTATAATAAAATGAAAAGACATTTTACAAAGCTGCACAGTTTCTTTTTATTTACTGGGGTCCCTTGACTGAATGGGCTTCTTTCTGGAAAAGCTGGACTTAACCTTTAAAAATACTGGCGTAAGGGATACTGAATCAAACATTTTTTTTCATCTTTTATTTAAAAAAATGTATTTGATTGGTTGCTATAGTCAATAATAGCTCCTGTATTTGGCAATCGTGTTGTAGTAAATGCAACATGTCAACCAGTATCAACACAGCAAAATCATCATTTTATTTGTAGTTACACCGATTTACATTATACTCTTATCTGTAAAGAAAAGGGGTTTACAGGTTTAATCATTTATGACACAGACTGGTTTGATCAGATGCTTTCCTGGCTGTAACACAGCTTGGGAAACGGAAGTGACAAAATCTATTACTTCTGGCTTTAATCGTAGCAGAGGATATGGGGGAATGGATGTTCCTCCACATCCTCTGTATGCAGCTCACCCAAAAGCTTACAGTGGTCCCTGGCTCTGCCATGGACTGGGAGAGTCCCGGGACAGTGATGGGGGCTTCCAGGCTCTATAAAAGTGATAAGGCTCCTAGATTGTAAGCTGGAAAGAGCAGGGCCCTCAATCCCCTCATGTTTTGCATTGTATTGGTATTGTTCTGTCACATGTTCTGTCCCCCTTTGTAATGTACAGCGCTGAGCGAACTATTGGCGCTTTATAAATACTGTATAATAATAATAATAATAAGGCGGTTGTAGAGCCGCATGGACCACCTTTACTTGAAAGCTAATTGCCGGCTATGAAAAATGATACCAGGATTATGGCTGCAGCTACTGAGGCCATATTTACACAGCCTCTGGGCAGGAAGTGGTGAAGAAGATTGTCAAAGGAATCGGTCAGGTCAGAAATTTGGAAGCTGCCATTGCTGACATGTTTTTGAATGTGTGCTTCAGGGTTGTCATCTTGATGCTTCTTTCAATACCTACTAAAGCCGGCCACACACGGGTCGAATTTCCGAAAGAATTTTCTTTAAAAAATCTTTTCTAAGAATTTTTGTTTGAATTTCGCACCATTAGTGGGCCACAGAAACGGCTGACTTTCGTGTAACCATTGAATTTGAGTGATCTGACATGTTGGAAATTGTTTTAAAAACAAACAAATTTTGAATCAATCGTGGGAGAATCGTATGATAAATATAAACGAAAAAGAAATGAGTGTGAGCTGTGACCTGGAAAGAAAAGAAAATTCTTGGCCACGAAAATTCTTTTCTGCAGCAACATGGGGGGGATAGGGGGTGGGGGGGAATTGAAGGCTTGGTTGGCTGAATTTCGAAATCAATGGTGGCACCATCAGATTACAAAAAACACTAAAATTCTGATTCTCTAAAGAAAATTTGTTTGGAATTCGACCCGTGTACGTCCTGCATAAGTCACTGATCTGGAATGAGTGTTATATATCAAGTGGGAAAGTATACTGTGACAGGTTATGATGATGTAGGTTACAGGGAACAAAAAAACCCCTCCAACAAACCAGTGAAAAGCAAAACGTATGCACATGTCACACATTCAGAACCTTTGGTTTGCATTACATGTACAGGTTAAAGTTATAGAGCTAATTATTCCAAACCGAATACAGTTGTTTCAAGCTTGTTGGTTATCACCATTGCAGTGAATGAAATCTGTGGTTTGCATGGAGTAGGATTAGCAACCAACACAAATGTATAAATATACAGATTATGGTGAGACGGGCTAAAAAGAACCAAAAAGCTAAAAAAAAAAAAAAAAGAAGAAGTCCTCCAATAAACCAGTATAAAGCACAGTAAAGACTTAGAACAGAAGGATTCACCTGTCTCGTTCCATCAGATGTAAGGAACTTGATCTGCATATGCTTTGTCCAGGTCAGAGATTCATTAGGTAGCAAAAGAAAAAGATGACAGACCCTGAACATCCATGTTATAGAACAAGTCAGCAAAAGCAGCTCCCATATTTCTTTATCATCATCACGATCCCTTTGAGGAATAAGAGCATTGTGCTGTCCCCTGACTACCAATAAATAGAAGAGCAGCAAGCAATAAATGATATAGGTAATTTGCAAACCACAATCTAAGTTTTGAGTCTATATTTTACTAACTATTAAAGGAATTCATAGTGTCAAAGTAAAACATACTATTCCTCCTGCTATCTGTGCTAAGGGCAGTCAGTCAAAGAAAAAATAAATAGAGGGTGATGGATAGTAAAGTACATTAAATGTGAATATAAAAGACTATAGATTACACTGGTTGACAAAATGTGTACTTTGTCACACTTATCTAATTGGAATTTCCCTATCACACAAGGTTCTTGTGCAACACACAGTTAAACTTTACCCACTGGACGACCAGCGACATACCTGTCTGTCAATGGACTTGGAGTTAAGTCAACCACCTGGAGTGGTTATATTGGGATGAAGCCTGCAGCTACAGGCTTCATCCCGGTATTTTTTTTTAGAGCCAGCAGTCGGCTTTCTTGTAAAAGCAATCCTAGCAGCTAATTAGCAGTGGATTTGGGAGGCCAGCAGTCGGCACTCCCGCCACCTTCCATGTGTAAAAGCCATCCTAGCAGCAGGAGACAGAGCAACACTGGCGCTTCTGCTGGTGTGACTATAGAGGTAATCAGAGACTGGAATTGTTAGATCAATCCAAAAAGTGGAAGCAAACATTCATCCTTCCGGTTTTGCCAGAATTTTGCTTTCAAATTGGGAAAGCATTTGAACACACTGATCTTGGTGTGAGCTGATGCTTTTGAGGACAGAGAGAGACATCAGGGAGTCTAACAGACTCCAGATCCCTCCATAAAGAGTACCTGTCATTTCTATTCATATCACAGGGAATATTTATATTCCCTGTGATAACAATAAAAAAGATAAAAAAAAGTGTAACAAAACAAATAAAATAAAAATGTATGTATGTGTATATATATATATATATATATATATATATATATATAATATAAAAATGTGTGAAGGATTGCTGCACATAAAATATTCCATTGTACAAAAATGACAAACATAGATCAGAAGTATTCCATAATGATAACAGTTTCGGTGCTCACACCCTTCCTCAGATCAGAATACAACAGCTAATTAAGTGAATCACATCAAGATTTTTAAATCCACTTCTTGACATTTGGAACCAATTAATCAATTTACACATTCAGTAGTAACATCATAGAAATATATTCTAAGGCATGGTGATAAGTAACAGCGTATATTCCCTGACATCAATTCAAACCCATCCCCGTATATACCTGTTATAGAAAAAAATAAAACAATATCAACATTAAATAACCTCAAAATGGTCATAAATAAAAAAAATTATATAATATATATATATATATATATATATATATATATATATATACATATATATATATATATAGACACACACGCGTAAATGCACGCGTGCGAACAGCGATCGTCCCACACATGTGAGGTATCACTGTAATCGCCAGTTCAAGGGCATTCTATCACCAGACCTCCTCTGTAAATCTAAAGTAGTAACCTGGAAAGGCTTTTATAGCATCGCCTAAGGATAATAAATATACATTACTTGTCACGGTTGCACAGGCGTACGCATTTTTTAAAGCGCAACATGTTTGGTATCTATTTACTTGGCATAACATCTTCTTTTAAATTCTACCAAACAGTTGGATATTATATTGTGTTTTTGTGCATTCAAATTCCAAAAAGTGTATTTTTTCCCCAAAACAATGCATATGAAAAACTGTTGCGCACATACTGTATAACATAAAAAAAATGCAACACCCACCAATTTTCTAGCAAAAAATACAGATTTTTCAAACAAAAAGAAATTGCTTGGTCTTCGAATGGTTGCACTAGACCAGTGGTTCTTAACCTGGGTTCGATCGAACCCCAGGGGTTCGGTGAGTCAGTCTCGCGGGTTCGGCGGAGGTGAAGACCCACACCCGACTCATATGATTCGTGATGACATGCCCCGCTCTTTACACGCTTTAATGCGGCTCTTGTGTGCTGGGCGCCCGCTCCCCTCCCTCCTCTCGGGCGGCAGGGACTCTGCAGCGTGATCCAAAAAAAAAAAAAAAAAACAGCCAGGGCAGCGCGCTCAAATGCAATGATTGGCCAGTCGCTGCCACTCACATCCTGATAGCCAGTGATTGGCTGTCAGGATGTGTGTAGGCGGGGCAGCGTGACGAACGTGAGAGGAGGTAGGCTCCTCTCACAGTCCGCCCTGAAGACCGGAACGGCGTGGGAATACGGCGAGAGGAACGCGCGGAGCAAAGGTAAGTGAATTGACACAGGGGGGACTTGGCTTACTACTTGCTACTTACTTACTACTACTATATAAGGGATGTATTACTATGGGGGATGAATTACTATAGGGGGGATGAATTACTATAGGGGGATGAATTACTATATGGGGGATGAATTACTATATGGGGGATGAATTACTATAGGGGGGATGAATTACTATAGGGGGGATGAATTACTATATGGGGGATGTATTACTATGGAGGATGAATTACTATATGGGGGATGAATTACTATAGGGGGGATGAATTACTATATGGGGGATGTATTACTATGGGGGATGAATTACTATATGGGGGATGAATTACTATATGGGGGATGAATTACTATGAGGGATGAATTTATATGGGGGATGAATTACTATGGGGGATGAATTACTATATGGGGGATGAATTACTATGGGGGATGAATTACTATGGGGGATGAATTACTATATGGGGGATGAATTACTATAGGGGGGATGAATTACTATGGGGGATGAATTACTATATGGGGGATGGGGGGATGAATTACTATAAAACAGTGGTTCTTAACCTGGGTTCGATCGAACCCCAGGGGTTCAGTGAGTCAGTCTCGCGGGTTCGGCAGAGGTGAAGACCCACACCCGACTCATATGATTCGTGCAGTAAATATTCATTATTATTTTTTTTTTTGTGTGAAAATCATGTTTTAATGGTTTTGTTCTTTGTTCTTAACGGTTTTGTTCATTTTGTGCACCTATTTATAAATATATACCTATGTTTTGAATTTTAAAAATCATATTTTATTTTTCCAATTAAGAAGGGTTCGGTGAATGCGCATATGAAACTGGTGGGGTTCAGTACCTCCAACAAGGTTAAGAACCACTGCACTAGACAATATTTACAGTATAGAAATGCATCACCTAAAAGATAAAAATGTATGATGTTCAGAAAAATCCTGCTTAAAAGTCCAGTAGATGTCAATAAGTATACTGGAACTCCACTTGCCTTGATATCATATTTCTATATCTGAAATGCCCTGAAAACGAAACCATCACTGTTACTGATAACTTTTCTGAAATCCCCAGGAAAAAATCCAGATGAGAATGACTTCAAAAGATCATTCACTATTTCTTGGTAGCTGTCCACATAAATTTTTCCTCAGAATATTTCTGCAAATACTCTTGAAAGACTAACCTTTTTTTTTTTTTGTACGTGGTTCAACTGGTCATCAGATTTCTCATTTTTGAATTACACTCCTAATTCCTAAGATCCCACAAAACTTTTGTCTTTGACGCTGGCATCACTAACCCTAAGAAAATGCTGAGCCCATTTTGACTGCCTTAACAAATTTCTTCCCAGGCCCTAGCTCAGTGTACAGTAGGCACACGTTTTCAGGGTCCACGAGCTATCTGCTTCATTCCTGAAGTCAGCAATGTTTGTTTTGGCCACTGTTGGATGTAATTCTTTTTTTGTCTCTCTAAGGTCCAATTTGTATCATCGTTTACAGCCTGGAAATTCTGGCAAAAAAAAGACTTACAGCTCTTTGAGCCCTTCTGTAAAGTCTTAAAATGTGAACAAATTGAGGTAAAATCATATTTTTCTAAATTCCACCTTAATACAGCCATACATTGTTAATAAGGAATTATATTCTATCAGTATAGTCTAAAATGATGGCACTCAAATTATTGGTGATAGCAAAATTCTGAGTGAATTTCTGAAACCAGCAAAGAAAGGCTCATAAAAGATACCCCTGAATTTTGTCTTCCCATCCTTCTTTGTGCCCATATTAGCTTTCAATTAAAGCTGCCCGATAAGAGAGCAGTCATGGCAGAACTATATCAGAAAGCACACAAAATACTATCATTAGTCCAGTTGGTCCTCCTCTCCTGATTTTCTTAGAAGCACACTAACACTATTTTTGTGAAAAAATGGAAATGAAAAAAAAGAAACATGAGTAACCATATGGAAAACCCCTAGACATTCCTCGAATCATTCTTTCATTTTAACAAATTGGTTTCAGTTTCATTTTTTCCCTTTATTTTAAAGCAGAAGAGAAATGATATGCAGTTCATAGAAGCCCAAAGCAGCTTTTGGAGATGATCATTTTTATAGCAGTCCAGTATATGTTTCCTTTCTCCAGCATCTGCCAAGCCCTAATGAAAGGGGGGCATGTTGGAGCCCCAATACAAGTTGCCATTATTGAATGTGAATTTTAATAAAAACAACTCCTGGATTTACATACTGGGTGGTATTTACTAAAACTGGAGAGTGCAAAATCTGGTGCAGTTCTGCACAGAAACCAATCAGCTTCCAGGTTTTATTGCCAAAGTCTAATTGAACAAGCTGAAGTTAGAACTGTACAAGGTTTTGCACCCTTCAGGTTTAGTAAATCTCCCCCATTGTGTCTGACACTTTCCTTCTTGCACACCAGTTTACACAATACATGTATCAACTGATGACTATCACTTCACTGAGAGCCCCCTAAAAGGAAATTTTATCCTACACTAGACCTAGTATAAAAATTGAATATGTACTAGAGTAAACAATCCAGGGCTAACGATGAGCACAGATTTGCTCCGAAGTTGGGTTCAGACCAAGCCCAGAAAGAAGCGGTCAGTCCCAACCATTGCTGCAATAGAATTCCCTGTCCTGCAGTCGCACATACACAAAGATATGATATGTGCTGGAAAAGTGTAGTATGCGAAGCACTTAAGAAGTTATTGAGGAAAACAGGTACATACAGTACCAAAACTTCAAAATTTGTTATGAATGTTTAGACTACCTCAGGGCATGAAAGGGTTAAGTTTCAGCCAGGGCCAGTACTAGACTATTTTGTGCCCTAGGCAAGACCAGCTACTTGCAACCCAACCCTTCAAAACAAAAATAAAACTTACATTTTTTAAAAAAAACAGAAAATATTAAAACAACAACCCATGAAACTGTGAAACGGCTTAACAGTTCCAATCAGTGCCGTCTAACAGTTCCAATTAGTGTCACCTATCAGTGCCAATCAGTGCCGCCTATCAGTGCTGCCTATCAGTGCCATATATAAGCGATGCCTTTCAGTGCCCATCAGTGATGCCTGTCAATGCCCTACAGTGCCACCTACCAGTCCCTCCTCATCAGTGCCGCCTATCAGTCCCTCCTCATCAGTGCCGCCTATCAGTGCAGCCTCTCAGTGCCCATCACTGCAGCCTCATTAGCGCACATCAATGAATGAGAAAAATTACTTATTTACAAAATTTTATAACGGAAACTAATAAAAAACCTTTTTTTTTTAATTTTCAGTCTTTTTTAGTTTGTTTAGCAAAAAATAAAAACCCCAGTGGTGATTAAATACCACCAAAAGAAAGCTCTGTCTCAAAAAAATAAAAATGATTAAAATTTTGTTTGGGTACAGTGTTGCATGACCACGCAATTGTCAAAGTGCGACAGTGCTGAAAGCTGAAAATTGACCTGGGTAGGAAGGGGGTAAAGGTGCCCGGTAGGCAAGTGGTTAATTTGCAAAAATAAGTGCTATAAAATGCCAAAGGGACAGCCCAATCCAGCAAAGAGACAGCCCAATCCAGCAAAGAGACAGCTCTATCCAGCAAAGAGACAGCTCTATCCAGCAAAGAGACAGCTCTATCCAGCAAAGAGACAGCTCTATCCAGCCCAAGCTCTATCCAGCAAAGAGAAAGCCCAATCCAGCAAAGAGAAAGCCCAATCCAGCAAAGAGACCCAATCCAGCAAAGAGACCCAATCCAGGAAAGAGACAGCCCAATCCAGGAAAGAGACAGCCCAATCCAGGAAAGAGACAGCCCCATCTAGCAGAAATTCACGGCCCCTACAGAGCAGGACTGTTGACACTCGATCAGTGTAGGGTTCAGTGCGCTCACCTTTCTCCCAGGGTGGTGTGACAGACGGCCATCTCTACCCCTGTGCAGCTGTCATGGTGTGCCGGCCAGTGTTATGAAGGTGAGAGCCCGCCACGTCCCTTCAGTGCGGCTGTGTCTCCAGCTGCTGGCCCGTGAGGTGTGTCCCCTTGCAGGCAGCGCTTCTTGTGTGTCACTGGAGCTGTCACTCCTGCCTTCTATCTGCACCTCCCAGTATTCTGGTGTCGGCCCTACTTTAAGGCATGTCTGTGGCGCTGGCCCACTCAGCCGCTACCAGGCCATAGCTGCATCCTAGGCGGCAGTGCACCCTAGGCGGCTGCCTAGTGGTAGCACCAGCCCTGTTTACCGCACAATTTCAAATTAGTATTGAACACTAGATTCTTACCCTGTACTTTAACATATTGCCCAGTGGTACAGATCCTCTGTGGTCGGCATAAATCACATGGACTATTTTCACCTGAACAGTAATAACCAGGTTTGCAATCACACACTGTGTCTGAAGTATATGTACATTCCTTTTTTTCCAACAGCCCAGCTCCTGGACAGAAAAAAAAAAAAAAAAAGCATTTCTATTTTAAATGTAATTACTCAAAAATATGTTCAATAAAGCATCAGTAAATGATAATGAGAAATATTACTATGCTAGTAAATGTGTGTCCATTGCTTGAATGGGATATTTGGAATACTGACATTAAATTATTTTGTATTCAGATATGGATTGGTGAAGTCCAATCTTAACAACTGTGAGGTCAAAGAGAACTGGCCTTTCAGTTCTGGATCTCTCACATGCCAGTGTCTGTGCACACCATACTTCATTGTGTGCATTTTTGTGCATTGAGGGACATTACGATGCACACAGTGTTAGGCAGCTGTTCTTAAACAAATGAGCTGCAATGCATAAAAAACCTCAGACTTACCAGTAACTGTATTTCTAGGTTGGGAGATTGGTAACGAAAAACCTTTTCGGAGGAACTTCTGAAAACTCTAGGCTATAACCTTGAGCAATGAGGTTTTTGACAAACACGCTTGACCTTGCCTCTTGCCACTGTGGAATGAAAGACAGAAGCCTTCCCCCCCCCACCCAGTGGGGACCATCACTGGCTCTTAGCAGACTGCACCGGAGGCCCGAAGAGCACCCCCCCCTACTCTTTTGAGGGTTCCAACTTCTGTTCTGGATCTGCTCCCTATCTCTTTGGGACTTTGAAAAATTATGAAAATTCTGTTTGAGCGGCTGCTTATTCTTCTTGGCTGGGAAGGTTTTCTTCTTATCTGCCGTCCTGTCAAGAACTGTCTTGAGGTCAGGGTCAAACAGCAGGTTACCAGAAAAGGGAATTCCACACAACTTGACCTTTGACACTGTATCTCCAGTCCATGTCTTGAGCCAGATGGCTCGTCTGGCTGAGTTAACCAGAGCCTAAGACCTGGCTGACATCCTAATTGACTCGCTGAAGAGTCCGCCATATATCTTACTGCCCTCAGAAGGGTTGGGAAGGATTCCAATAACTCTCTTCTAGAGGTCCCTGTCTCCACATGCTCCTTCAACTGGTCGAGCCAACAATCTACATTCCTGGCCACGACCATTGAAGCCATCGCAGGCTTCAAGTGATTCTAAAGTCTTTTTGCTTTTGTTTTTGTAAAATAACAAACACATCATACTTACCTACTGTGTACAGTGGTTTTGCACAGAGCAGCCTAAATCCTCCTCGCCTCGGGTCCTCCACAGGCTCTCCTTGCTCATCCCTCCTGTTGGGTGTTCCCACAGCAAGCAGCTTTCTATGGGGGCACCCGCTGCTCCGTGTGTCCATTCACATATGGAGCAATGGCTCAGCCCCGCTCCCTCTCTCTCCTCATTGGCTGACTGGCTGTGATTGACAGCAGCGGGAGTCAATGGCTCCCACTTGCTGTCTCAGCCAATGGCTCCCGATTGCTGTCTCAGCCAATGGGGAGGCAGAGACCCGGGACAGCCGAGGCTGTCATGCACATTGCTGGAACTCGATGGGGCTCAGGTAAATATTGAGGGGGCTTGGGGGCACTGCTGCAGAATGAAGGTTTTTTTACCTTCATACATAGAATACATGAAGGTAAAAAACCTTGAGCCTTTACAACCGTTTTAAGATTGGACAAAGTGGAGTCCCATGCTTTCTTGAGGAGGGAATCCGCCCTTTTATCCATCGCATCCTTGAGGATGCCCATATCCTCAAACACCAAGTCTGTACACCTGGACACTTGCAAGAAGGCAGTATTGACTTTTGGCTTTTTATTCCAAACCCAGGACTCATCCTCCTTGAAGGGAAATCACCTTCGGGATTTAAAAAAACTGACCCTCTCTGGATTCTTCCACACTTTCTTTACTGCTTCAGACAGGACATTATGGCCCGGAAAGACCATGCGTTTGATATCATCCAGGCCCTCATACATTTTGTCATGAACAGATAGCTGTACTTTATCCTCCTGAATCTCAAGGGTGGTGTAGATTGCTTTTAGAAGCTCATCTAGCTCCTCTAATGCCATTTCTGGAGGACCTTCCCGCTTCCACTCCCCCCTCCTCATCGCCCAAAACCCAAAGGGAGAGTATAATACTTTCTCTCTCCTCCTGAGTTGCTAGCCTCCAAACCCCTTGAGGTAGACAGCAGAGGGCTGGCTAGCTAGGGTGCTCTGCTGAGAATTTTACACATTTCCCGGCATCTTGTTCACTAAGGAGTGCAACGAACCCAATGTCTCTGTTAGCTCCTTTACTGAAGAGACTAACTGCTCATACTACAGCGAGGATTCTTCTTTGACCAAACCGCCAATACAAGATCTGCACAAGGGTTTTGACCAGGAATCCCTGGATTCTTACAGGAGGGGCATTTTCTAGGAGAAACTTAGTCTTGGCTGAGGCTTTAGCCTGAAACAATACATAAAAAGCCAACACGGCCACGTAAGCTGGGGACCTCTAACCTAACGCTGCCCCCAGTGCTGCCCCACAGCCAAGAAACAGGAGGGAAAGGGGGAGAAAGGGAGAGGGAGAGAGGGGGAGAGAGAGAGAGAGAGAGAGGGAGAGAGAAGGCTTCTTGGGTGTTCAGCTACTTTCACATGGTCAGAGGGCAGTAAAAACAAGCTGTTGATCCCTGTTTTTCCTACCCTCATGAGCTCTCACCTACAAATGGACATGGTGCCACTCAGGAGTACAGAATGCTGCAGCTGCAATGTTTCTCATTGCAGTGCAACAATTTTAATAACACATGCCAAGTTTGACAGGCAGTGCCCATTTAAGTGAACTGGGATGTACAGCAACAGAGAGTCAAATGTTTGTTTTGGCAAAATTACCGAAGGATGTCCTGTCAGGTTCTCAATCATCCTTCCTCTCAGCAGCTATATACAGGTGCATCTCAATAAATTGGAATATCATCAAAAAGTTAATTTATTTCAATAATTTAATTTAAAAAGTGAAATGCATATATTATATAGATTCATTACACACAGAGCGATATATTTCAAGCATTTCTTTCTTTTAATTTTGATGATTATGGCTTACAGCTAGTGAAAACCCCAAATTCAGTATCTCAGAACATTGAAATATTACATAAGACCAATAAAAAAGGATTTTTAACACAATAATGTTGGCTTACTGAAAAGCATGTCCATGTACAGTATAGTATGCACTCAATACTTGGTTGGAGATCCTTTTGCATGAATGACTGCATCAATGTGGCATGGCATGGAGGCGATCAGCCTGTGGCACTGCTGAGGTGTTATGGAAGCCCAGGTTGCTTTGATAGCGGCTTCAGCTTGTCTGCATTATTGGGTCTTGTGTCTCATCTTCCTCTTGACAATAGCCCACAGGATCTCTATGGGGTTTAGGTCAGGCGAGTTTGCTGGCCAGTCAGTGCTTTTGGCAGCGTGGGCAGGTGCCAAGTCCTGCTGGAAAATGAAGTCAGCATCCCCATAAAGCTGGTCAGCGAAGGGAACCATGAAGTGATCTAGAATATCCTGGTAGAGGGCTGTACTGACTTTGGACTTGATAAAACACAGAAGACCAACACCAGCAGCTGACATAGCTCCCCAAATCATCACTCACTGTGGAAACCTCACACTGGACATCATGCAACTTGGATTCTGTGCCTTTCCACTCTTCCTCCAGACTCTGAGACCTCGTTTTTACTTTCATCCAAAAAGAGGACTTTGGAACACTGAGCAACAGTCCAATCCTTTTTTTCTATAGCCCAGCTAAGACACTTCTGACATTGTCTCTGGTTCAGGAGTGGCTTGACACAAGGAATGCGACAGTTGTAGCCCATGTCCTAGATACGCCTGTGTGTGGTGGCTCTTGAAGCACTGACAACAGCCTTAGTCCACTCCCAAATTCTTGAATGGCCTTTGCTTCACAATCCTCTGCAGTTATCCCTGTTGCTTGTGCACCTTTGTTAACCACACTTTTTCCTTCCACTCAATTTTCCGTTAATATGCTTGGATACAGCACTCTGTGAGCAGCCAGCTTCTTTAGCAATGACCTTTTATGACTTACCCTCCATGTGGAGGGTGTCAATGACTGTTTTCTGGACAACTGTCAAGTCAGCAATCTTCCCCGTGACTGTGTAAACTAGTACACCAGACAAAGAGACCATTTAAAGGCTCTTTCTATTTCTCAATATTCTAATGTACTGAAATACTGAATTTTGGGTTTTCTCTAGCCGTAAGCCATAATCATCAAAATTAAAAGAAATAAATGCTTGAAGTATATCATTTTGTGTGTAGTGAATCTATATAAAATATGAGTTTCACGTTTTGAATTGAATTAATGAAATAAATCAACTTTTTGATGAAATTCTAATTTATTGAGATGCACCTGTACTGTATACCTCCACAGCGAGAGTAAAGATGATGATAATATCGCAGCATTTTAAAATTCAGAATTCAGTGAAAATAAGTAACTTATGGCAAAACATGCTTCCCCTTCCTTCCTTAAAATCAAGTATTCTAAATGTTTACTTATAGAGTTTATCATTCCCATATATTATTTTTATTCACTGGCAATGTTTAAACAGGTTAGAAAATGTGAATACTTAGAAAGTCAGTTTCCTAGGGCAGCCCCTTGTCTCCTTGTACATCGCTTTTTTTTTTTGATTGTCTAATTACTGTCTGTGCTGGCCCAGCTCCTCAGCCCATCCCCTCCTCTTCCTACATAAATAACTGTTTTTTCCCAAAAGGAGAGAAAAAGAAATTAGAGACAAACACTTCACCTGCTGTCTGGGTGTAAGATTATGAAGTATTCATATTTATATTTACCTAAATAAAAATATGGGGGTTTTTTGTTTTGTTTTACAAATATATAAAGGCTTCAGTGGTCCACAGTAAATAAGTACAAAATTACTAGCCAGTTAGTTACAAGTTCATGGTAAGTGAGATTTTTTACCACCTATAAAAAGCAAGCTTACAGAAGAAATACACTGTGTTTGAAATAAGAAGATTAATTTTGATCTGTGAATAAAGTTCTGGAAGTATCACTTACCAGTATCACATTCTGTACATTTTGCACATTTAGTGACTCCGTTGGGATGGTCCATGTATGTTCCTTTAACACACGGTATGCACACATTGCTACTAGCTGGTTGAAGAGCAATGAGTTTTCACAACTGTACCTGGGAGGAAAAAAAAGCAAAATTATGTTTTAGACTCAGATTTTCTAAGCAACAGAAGAATGTGTCTTTGCTAATAATCGGCATTGGAATGATTATTTATTGGTAAACTGAGAACTGTCAGTGTTAACCCCTTTGTGATTTAGCCAACATCAATATAAATTAAGGTTTCCGGATTTTCAAAATTAAATTCAAGGACGCCCTACCGACCATACCCACAAAAATCACATTCTCATTTGTACCAAAGCCGCAAAATCACCAAAAAAAAATTGCAAAAGACTGGGGGCACCCTTGGACACTTTGAGAGGAGCAATACCGTAGTGAATAGGTTCACCCAAAATGTGCTACCAGTGGCAGGGGCTTGAAGAGCTACGGTTAAATAAAACCTGAGTTTACTCTGTTCTGGGTCAAAAGTACATAATGCACATGGAGCAGGAGTGCTGGACTCAGGCATGCATGACACAGGGTGCTGCTCAACATACAGAGTGCAGGGGCCAGGAGGACGGAAACACAAATAGTTCATGGGTCAGGAGTACATGATGCACAGAATCCAGGGGTCAGAAGTGCATGACACACAGCGGTGCAAGGGTCTGGAGTACATAACACACAGAGTGCCGTAGACAGGAGTGGGAGATGCACAGAGTGCAGGAATCATAGGTGTGTGACACACAGGGTGCAGGGGACAGGAGAGGGAGATGCACAGAGTGCAGGAATCATAGGTGTGTGACACACAAAGTGCAGGGGTCTGGAGTACATAACACACAGAGTGCAGGGGACAGGAGTGGGAGATGCACAGAGTACAGGGGTCGGGAGTACATAACACAGAGTGCAGAGGACAGGAGTGGGAGATGCACAGACTGCAGGGGTCATAGGTGTGTGACACACAGAGTGCAGGGTCTGGAGTATGAAACAGAATGCAACGGTCAGGGATGCATAATGCAGCGAGTAGGGGTACATAATGCACCTACAGCAGGGGTGGCAAGTTAGAACTGCACAGAGCGCAGAGGTCGACAGTTAATATGGCCATACACTGTGAAAATGTTGATTCATGGGTGGCTATGTTGGCCCTTTCCCGCCCAAAGTCCCTAAATTGAAAAATCAAAGGAGCTGGGTATCCAATCAGATGCAGTTGCTGTTCAGGTGTTCTGAAAGCCAACTCCAGCAGCTGTGAGTATATTATATCGCAGCATTTGTCCATCTGTGCTGTGTGGCATGGGTTGGGGAATCTGTTCCGATCTTTTTTTTTCATTCAGCCTGCAGCGTAACACATGACAAAACCACCTCCGGCACAAATTCCCCCTCCCTAAATTCTCTCCCTAAATTGTACTCACCAGCATTGCATTACATCTGCTATTCTGCTGGTGAGTGCCCCAGGTTCCAACTCTGTGACCACCTGCATTTTTCTTCTTCTATATGTGAAATGATGCCTGTCAGACCTGGCATAGAGAGCCAAAGGAAGTGCTCTGAAACTCTTTCTTTGTTCCGTGCTACAGGCCTGACAGGTGGCAAGCCAACGGGCAGAGATAGAGGCCAGCAGCTGCAAATATCAAAGAAATGAAAAAAAAAACCACAGGCAGTCACCTCACAGGGCTGCCAATAGAAATAAAGGGGCACCGTACAGCCTACCTGACAGCCCCCCCCTCATCCAGGCCCCCTACAATTGCAGCTGCCAAGCAAACTATATACACATGCATATACAACACCCTGCAATACAACACCACATACACAGAATGCACAGGGGAACAGTGTGTTGAGTTGTACCTTCCATGGCCAGGGCCAGAGGAGTCCCAACAGATGAGGCAGGATTTGGGGATCCATAGACCAAGGAAGAGGAGGTGCTGTAATCCCCTGGTGGAGAAGCCCAGGCACTGATTGGACAAACGGGATAACACACACACATTGTATTAAGTTTTATTGGTGGAAGTTGAACCCCTCCTCCAGTCCCTTCTCCAATCAACGGCTGGTGCGCAGAGCCCTTAGTATCTTGTTTTCCTCCAGAACAGTCCCCGGCAGGTACAAGAGTACAAATGAGCCAGCATGCCAGAAAGATCTATGCTGGCTCATTTGTACTGTTTAGGACCCAACGGCAACCATAACTTTTGTTATGTTTTAGGTAGAGTGGGGAGGATTAACCACTTCTATTAGGTTTATGCAGTGGTGAAGCTAGACAGTCTTCAAGTATAATAAATAAGCCATATGATTAGGGAACGCGGGTTGTGGGAGTTTTCAGGCAGGCTTCTGCAGCTGCACTCTTCCTATGGTGGAGGAAAGAGCTCTAGAAGCCTGCCTGAAAAACTCCCATAGCTAGAATTTCTCCATTGTCATGTTTCACATGACTATCATATTGACTGTCATATGCCTTTAAATGCTTTCTATATTTTGTCTCTGCTCCTCCCTTTCCTTTGGTTTAGTTAATGCAGTATAGATAGCCCTCCCCCTTTCCCAGAGATGCATTACAGCAAGCCTCATGGCAAGAAGTAAAACCAGTATGATCTTTTGACCTATGGAATTTCATTGTTGTAAGATTCTCTCAGTTTATGAAATAAACTTCACAAGATCTATAAGATGTCATTCTCATTGAGTCACTGACTGTGGTATCCAACTGAGGTTGAAGTTATCGCTATCTCATCACAACTGTAAGTTACAGAGATCACACTATCAATGCTTAGATTGGAGAGACAGAACATCCATCCTGTTGCTAGGAAGTTGTTATGGCGCTCCAGCCATTGATGCTTATCTCCACCATCACAGGAATGCACTAGTATTCATGCCACACATGCACAGTGTACCGTCTACCCAGTTGCCACAGCGCTGAGCTCAGCGCCATGGCAAAAGGGGAGAGAATGTGGACTGTTTGAACCTGAGAGAGCACGCTCTTGTGATGGCATAGGAGGGCATCAATGGCAGGACCACCATAGCAACGTCCTAGCAACAGGATGGGTAAATGCAGAGTTTTGCAGACAGGCTTCTGGAGCTCCAACATTACAAGATCGCACTCTCTTGGATTCAAATATCATGACTACATTCTCTCCAGTTTCTATGGTGCTCAGCTCAACACCTGCAACATCTAAATCCAGGAGAGATGTTGCTGAGGTGCTCCAGCCACTGATACTCACTACGACCTCTCAGATTCAAACACCGCACACACGCTGGGCACCATCTACTCCATTGTTATGATGCTGAGCTCCTCACCATGGAAGCAGGGAAGAAAGTGCATGTGCAGTATTTGAATGTGAGGGAGCAGGACTCGTGTGATGGTGGAGGCGAGCAACAATGTCTGGTGCTCCATAGCAACAGGAAAGGCCAGGAACTCAGCTATGGGAGGTTTTTGACCAGGCTTCTGGAGGGGGGGTACATAATTCAATATTGTTCATAGGAGCACAGTTTGTTTTTATCTAAAGGGCAGATTTTTGGTATAGTGGACTGACCCTTGAAGTAAACAGCTCACCCTGCCCCCCCCCCCCCCCCCCCCCCCCCCCCCCCGGTCCTGGGGTCTGCCGGATGACATGAGGAGACTTGGCCAGACAGAACACGCATGGCCAGTGTACCATGTATATAAATAAGAAATACAAATCATGTATTTAGCTGTCTGTCTGGAGCTTGGCTTCAAGAACTTACACAAAATGAAATATCAAAGAACAGTAAATCCTGCTCCTTCCCCTCCCCTCTCTCTGATCCATCCCACTCCCCGGGTGCTCTCCTCCCTGCAACCTTCAGAAACCAGGGACCAGTGCAACCTTCAGAAACCAGGGACCATCCGTGACGTCACGTGTTGTGCAGCGTCTCTGGAGAAGCAGGGTTTCCTGAGTTGGACAGAGTGTCCCCAGTGGGAGTCACCAGTATAGGTGGTGATGGCTCGGGGTGCACGTGATTAGCAGGGCAGAGTGGGAGAAGCAACATACTGCGGAGCCCACCCTCTCCACCTCATTCTATTCCCTGCGGGATCTGGGATTGTGCGGTGTGTAACTGGGTACTCTCTGTCCGCAGTGCCCCACTTAGGGCTTGTCAGTTTTTCTGCACGCATTCTGCAAGGGCACAGCGAAAATCAATTGTTCTCTATGTGCCCTGTTCACAACACAGCACTAGAATCCTGAACAGATTTTTTCTGCACAGGAATCTGCAATGTATATAAAACTCATTCAAGCGTCCAAAAAAACTGATGTCTCTGCAAGTGAAATCTGCAAGTCAGTTTCCATCAGTTTTTCTGTACGTATGATGTGAATGAGGCATAAACGTCTGAAATAGTTCATTATTTACTATTCAGTGCATTCTGGGCATTTGGGAGGGTCTCCTGAGGATATCTTTTAAAAATGCTTCTAAATGCAAACGCAGCTAAACGCACATAAACGCGGTAGGTAAACGTGGCTATACTGACATTTTTAACCTATGTAGTCAATTTCCAGCGGTCAGAAGAGTTTTTCAAACGCCCCGTGTACATGAGCCCTTATTGTGTAAATAAGGTGGAGGTTTGTTCTGATAAAGTAGCATTGAACCTCTGCCATTTTTTTTGGAGGTGCACCAGGAATGGTTAGCCTTAGTGTGCTAGAATGCACAGCATATTAGCCCATTATGGCAGACTTGCCTGGCACTGGCATTGCCATGGGAGTGACTGACCATTCTTCCAGAAGTGCATTTGTGAGGTCAGGCAGGGACGAGAAGGCCTGGCTCACTGTCTCCGCTCTAATTCATCCTAAAGATGTTCTATTGGGTTGAGGTCAAGACTCTACCCCAAACCTGCTCATCCATGTCTTTATGGGCCTTGCTTTGTGCACTAGTGCACAGTGATGTTGGAACAGGAAAGGGCCATTCGCAAACTGTTCCCAAAAAGTTGGGAGCAGGAAATTGTCCAAAATGTCTTGGTATGCCGACGCCTTAAGCCCTGGTTCACATATATGCAGCCGCGCGGGTCGCGTTTTGTGTGGGCACGAGAGCTCATTTATTTGAATGGACTCCCGTGCCCTGTGACACGCAAAGAAGTCCCTGCACTTCTTCTGAAAACGCAGCCCACGCGGGAACCTTCCCAGTCTTTCCAGTGCGGGCGGCGTGCCATTAGAACTAATGGCACTCGTCCGCGGGTCCGCATTCCTCTGTGCAGGTAGTGCGGCTGCATGGATTTTTGTGCGGATGTGAACCTAGCCTTAGATTTCCCTTCACTGGAACTAAGGGGCCAAACCCAACCCCTGAAAAACAACCTCACACCAGAATCCCCCCCTCCATCAAACTTTAAACTTGGCACAATGCAGTCAGGAAAGTACCATTCTCCTGGCAACCGCCAAACCCAGACACCTCCACTGGTTTCCAGACAAAGAAGCGTGATTCATCACTCCAGAGAACAATGTCTCCACTGCTCTAGAGTCCAGTGGTGGCGTGTTCTGTATCCAATGCTTTGCATTGCACTTGGTGATGTAAGGTTTGGATGCAGCTGCTCGGCCATGGAAGCCCATTCTATGAAGCTCTCTACACTGTTGTTGTGCTAATCTGAAGGCCACATAAAGTCTGGAGGTCTTTAGCTATTGACTCCACAGACAGTTGGAGACCTCTGTGTACTGTGCGCTTCAGCATGCGCTGACCCCGCTCTGTCATTTTATGTGGCCTACCACTTCGTGGCTGAGTTGCTGTTTGTGGCTGAGTTGCTTCCACTTTGTTATAATACCACTAACAGTTGACCGTGGAATATTTAGTAGTAAAGAAATTTCACGGATGGACTTATTGCGCAGGTGGCAACCTATCACGATGCCACGCTTGAATTCACTGAGCTCCTGAGAGCGACCCAATCTTTCACAAATTTTTGTAGAAGCAGTCTCCATTACTAGTATAAATAAATATGTATTGCTTTTTTTTTTATTGGATATGATTTTTTAATAGCAAAAAGTAAAAAAAAATTGTTTTATTAAAGAAAATGTTGGTCGTTTTTCATTTTTAGAGTAAAAAATAAAAAATCCAGTGATGATCAAATACCACCAAAAGAAAGCTCTATTTGTGTGGAAAACAATTATGTAAAATTTCATTTGTGTACAGTGTTGCATGACTGCGCAATTGTCATTAAAGAAGAGCAGCGTTGAATAGCAAAAAACAGCTTGGTTGTGAAGGAGGGGTAAATCTTCTGGAGGGCAAGTGGTTAAGACAGCAACAAAAGTAAGAGATGTGAAAGATGGTGGAGTCTTGAAGAAGGGAGGGGGGGGGGGGCTGTTGCAGTGGAAGGGTTTCATGCGGAGGTCAGAGCTGAAGGGGGGGGGAAGTGAGATGTTGATGGGTGATGCAGAGGAAGCTGTGGAAGAAGGCTGAAGTCTGCACTCTGTGTGCAACCCTGCCCCCCCCCCCCCCCCCCCCCCCCCCCCCCCCCCACGAACTCTGCACTTTATGTAAAGCACTCCTGGTATATAATGCGCATCTAAGACCCTCCCGCTGTTAGTTAAATTTGACCACACCCACCATTTGATGCACTTTGGAGGGTGCATGTGTAGAGGAGGGGTTTTTGAAAAAAATTTGCATACATGAAAATAAAGTTTCGCTTACTGGTATTTGCTTGTACATTTATTTATTTATTTCAGGTGCTTATATAGCGCCGTCAATGTAAGCAGCGCTTTACATATATATTGTATATTCACATCAATCCCTAACCCTCAGGGGGTGTACAATCTAAAGTAAGTACATGATCCAAGCTATTACTCATGGCTTTGGAGTTATTATGTTAGTTTAGATCTGATAAAGTCCTGTTCTACCTGGTGAGCTTGAAAGTAGAGAATTTAAAAGATGCTGCCACACCTCCTACAGTTACAACATGATATGTCTATAGTTACTTAAAGGCTAACTCCAGATTTCATTTCACTTTAAATAGTTCTTTGAACCAAGCTGGTACAAACAAACTGTTTCCTCCACTAATCAATGCAGTGGCTGTCAGCGCTGTATAAACTGTGTTTAGCATCAGCTACATACAGGGGGACTTACTAAAACTGGAGCATTCAGAATTTGTTGCAGCTGTTCATAGTAACTAAATCCACAACAGTAAAATCAGTCTGTACATGCAGTAAAGCATGCTTGTTATACTCACTGTGGAACCTAAGGGGTTAATCCTCTGCATTGTATAAAAAAAAGCTGTTTGATCCTGACTTCTCTGCTCCTCCTCTTGTTCAGACAGATGATAAGACAGACTGAACAGTAGCCATTCTGCACATGCTCAGTTGTAGTGTGTATTGCTAGAAAGGTTTTTTTTTTTTTCTTGGGAGAGTGCATGTGATCAGCACAGGACCAGTTAGCACTGTCCAGACAAAGGTCAGGGGTTTTGCATCCTCCTACATCAGAAAGAAAACCCCTTCTACAAGCTTTAACATGTGCTTTGCTGGACATTGTTAGAAGTCACAAGACTGCTCTAACTGCTGATGAGAAAAGGTATTTAGTAGTTTATATTTACTAATATTAATTATTAAAATGATTGCATTTCCATGTTGTGTGTACTGTGGGAGACCAGATATAGTGAATGCAGGGTCCTGGGTTTAGTAACACTAAGTTTTGGCAATAAAATCAGGAAGTTGATTGGTTTCTATGCAGAGCTGCAATAGATTTTGTGTGCACCAGTTTTAGTAAATCCCCCCACAGTATACAGCAATGTGTATGCAGCATCAGCTACATACAGTATACAGCAATGTGTATGCAGCATCAGCTACATACAGTATACAGCAATGTGTATGCAGCATCAGCTACATACAGTATACAGCAATGTGTATGCAGCATCAGCTACATACAGTATACAGCAATGTGTATGCAGCATCAGCTACATACAGTATACAGCAATGTGTATGCAGCATCAGCTACATACAGTATACAGCAATGTGTATGCAGCATCAGCTACATACAGTATACAGCAATGTGTATGCAGCATCAGCTACATACAGTATACAGCAATGTAGAGACTTCCTGTCGGGATGAGCGCTGCTCAGACATTCACAGGAAGCCTTCTATTTTTCTGAATGAATACAAGGCTTCCTCTGATTGGCTGGAGAGGCAGGCGGTTCATGATCATGAATGATGAGATGGTTAATGTGTGCTGAAGTGGTCATCTCCCATCCCTCCGTTTGTCATGGCTGTAACGTTATTGGGGTATTGTTGCCCAGGTTATGATGGTGCCTGGAGGTCAGTACAGTTACTTGGTTCTTGAGTACTGAAATGCTGAGCAGGTGAGTTGGTTAAAGTTTTAATGGTGGTATTGTTCTGCGTGGTAAAGTCCTGGTATAATGAAGGTTATCAGATTCTGTTTTAAACCCAAATAAAGAGGCAGCAGCCATGATTCTCCACACTTTGGTTTCCTGCTTCCTCTTTTTATCACAAATGATCAAATGGTTACTGTGTGGGTAGAACTGGGGTGGTGGTTTGTGGGGTTAGACAATGCCATGATTTGGAAAGGAAACTTGGGTGGAAAAAAGCCACTAATATATAATACTTCAGCTACTTTAGAAGAGCCAACCATCAGAAACAATAAGCCACAAGCTGGTGCCCTGCAAGAGAAGTTGTGTAAATGCTGGACAATTCTCCTAAAAACCTTCTGGAACAATGTCTTGGCAGCTGGTGCTCACCCAACCTGATACTTCAAAAGGTATGTCTGGACATTGCTAGAACTTAACGCCAAAGCTCTCTCCCCCTCTAGAACATGTCCCAGAAATTCATTTTACTTCTTTGTACAGTGAGAAACTGCTTTTATTACTCCCCATGAGTACCAGACTTGTAAAATTCAGCTGCTGGTATCTCAGGTTCAATCAATGTAGGGCAGGCACATCCCTAGAATTACCCAGAGAGCTACCCAAGAACTCTTTTTCTACACACATCCCATAGACAGGCTCTTGGGAATCAAGGTAGCAGCATTGTTTTGCTGGGAAAGTAATCAGAGAGGGCTCGGGGATAGAAGAAGGAGTTGTATAGGCAGGCAGGCTGATAATGCGGTTTGGGATTTCTGCTAAAACTTTGTGAAGTAGTACTGCCTGGACCTTGAAGAAAGGGACATACCCCGAGAGCTTGTCCTCAAAATTGTATGCTAGTGCAAATAAAAAAAGTATCACGGGCAGTACTCAATTGTTTCTGGTGTAGGAGAGGCACTGTGTAGAAAGGCACTAAATAGAAAGTTAGGAGCCTGCTAATTTAATGGCAGGTATTTTCTGTACCTGCAGTGTTTTAAGGGATAAAACATGGAAAAATTTACATGTATTGGAAAGATCTGAATATGCTTTGATTTTATTTATTTTAAAATCGCTCTCTTCAGTCCTCCCAAGACTTTCCGCTTTCTAGTTCCTGTGTCACTTCCTCCCATGCTCGCCTCCGGGACTTCTCCCGAGCTTCTCCCGCCTATGGAACTACCTACCCCAATCTGTCCGACTATCTCTTAATCTATCCACCTTTAGACGATCTCTTTAAACCCTTCTCTTTAACCACCTCCCGCCTGCCATATAGTAATATGACGGACGCAAGGTGGTTCTCTCGTTCTGGGAGAACGTCATACGACGTCCTCCCATTCTCACTGCGCATGCGCACCTCGGACACAGTGGATCACCGATCACGGAAAGAGCTGAAGATCTCGGCTCGGTCATGTGATCAGCTGTGTCCAATCACAGCTGATCACATGTAAACAGAGAAATGCCGGTTATCGGCATTTCTCTCCCCTCGAGCTGTCACGCTGACAGCTCGAGAGGAGAGGAGAGCCGGTAATCGGCTTTCCGCGGAGGGGACATGTACACTGATCATCAGGGCACTGATGATCAGTGTGCCCTGATGATCAGTGTAGCCCAAGCAGTGCCACCTGTCAGTGCCCATCAGTGCCTTGTGTCAGTGGCCATCAGTGCCACATCAATGCCACATATCAGTGCCCATCTGAGCTGCCTTTCAGTGTCACCCATCAGCGCCAGTCAGTGCCACCTGTCAATGCCAATCAGTGCCACCTATCAGTGCTGCCAATCGGTGCCGCCTATCAGTGCGCGTCAGTACCACCTATCAGTGCTGGTCAGTGCCGCCTATCAGTGCTATATATCAGTGCTGCCTTTCAGCGCCCATCAGTGATGCCTGTCAATGCCTATCAGTGCCACCTACCAGTGCCTCCTCATCAGTGCCCATCAGTGCCACCTATCAGTGCCCATCAGTGCAGCCTCATTAGCGCACATCAGTGAAGGAGAAAAATCACTTATTTACAAAATTGTATGACAAAAACTAAAGAAAAAACTTTTTTTTTTTTCAAAATTTTCAGTGGTTTTTGGTTTGTTTAAGAAAATATAAAAAACCCAGAGGTGATTAAATACTACCAAAGGAAAGCTCTATCTGTAACAAAAAAATGATAAACATTTCATATGGGTACAATGTTGCATGACCGCGCAATTGTCATGCAAAGTGAGACAGCGCTGAAAGCTGAAAATTGGCCTGGGCAGGAAGGGGGTATAAGTGCCCTGTAGACTAGCAATTAAAGTAGCCTATCCTGCACTACTTTTACTTTCCCCATCAGCTTGCAGCTCATCCCCCACAACTATTACCTTTTGTATCACTTGACTCTCCCTCTTGGATTGTAAGCTCTAACGAGCAGGGCCCTCTGTTTCCTCTTGTACCAAATTGTATTGTAACTGTAATGTCTACCTTCATTTTGTAAAGTACTGCACAAACTGTTGGCGCTATATAAATCCTGTATAATAATAATAATTTCATCCAGACATATATTTTTAATCTCTATACACCATGAAATTGGCATACTGTAGAATTGTAATATTATCAATAATGTATGCATGTGTGTATGTTTGTATAGGTATCTTGAACTTTTGTAATATGGATGCATAGTAAAAAGTCTAATGCCAGATGAACTATTCTACTGCTGCCAACACATTGGCAGAATCACAGAAGGTAGCCATCCATCTTAAAAGAGTTGATTGCTCACTGCCTTCAAATTCTACAGAATCTCATTCGATAACAAGGAAGAGTTATCTCGCCGGTCCAGCCAGGAAAGGTGTGACTGTAGGGAAAAGTACTGTAACTGGTCTACTAGACAATAGGTTGTCTTCAGAGACTAGATCACTATTTTAACATCAACCCAGATTTTTGTGTGCCACTCTATATCAGTTGACATGCAAACATATGGATGGAATGTAATTGGGATGTATTTATAGGGCTAACAGAGTTGAAAGACCGATATGTTTCTCTTTACTTACCACTGTTACACATAGGACAGCATAATTCATTGATCTGATATTCTCCAGGAGGGCAGCTGGCAGACGGTGAACTAAATAATGCCTGTCAGGAAAAAATTAAAGAAATTGTATAAATAAGGCTTTCCAACAAAATATTTCTATAGTCTCTGATGGCATAAGTATATAGAATTCAAATTAAGATGACATTTAATAAATTGGAAGGATTTATATGAGTTTGTCCAAAACAAGACACACAGAATATTTTTTTGTCTCTGCTTTAAGATCGTTGGACAACAGCAGGGAACATGATGCTTTTTTGCCCATCTACACAATGACATCCACTTGAAAGGCACATGAAGTGAAGGAAGGCAGAATTCCATTTGCTAATAGAAGCAAAGCTTTTTATGTCATGGAGAACAGGAGTGACTACATACAGAGTAAATGTTTTTGTATAACCCCTGCCTGCTGCCGCCTCCCGGCCCTTTATGAGGATATATGCTCCAGGTTGGCAGGAAGTGGTTAATTCCTTCACATATCAATGAATAATAAAAGTCATACAGACCCAAAAAAATGTATTTCACATAAGTTTATTTCACAAAAAAAGTTAATTTTTGGGATTCTAGAATGTGGTTGATATTATAGATAATGCTTAGTGGATTTCCTCTCAACCACTAAAGGATTCAGAGCACAGGAGACAAATCCTAAAAGAAAAAAAACTAAAGGAGTGTCAACACTAATATTGAAGCAGTTACCAATACAAGTGGATGAATCCCTTCCAGATGAGGAGGGCAGATTCATCTTTATTAAAGGATCCTTGTGGGGAAAACCTCTAACCTTGGCGAATATATATAGTCCAAACACTAATCAGGTGGGATTCTTTGGAAAGGCCACTCAGGCCCTTGCTGCCTTCTACTCAGGAATGATGATATTGGGAGGTGACTTTAAACTTGCACTTAACCCCCTAGAGCAGTGGTCTCCAAACTATGGCATGGGGGCCAGATGTGGCCCTTTGCTTGTTTTTGTGCGGGCCTTTGGGCAATATTTCATCCACTGATACCAACAATGGGGCATAATTCTCTCCACTGACACCATTGAAGGGGCACAGTTTCTCCCAACGATACCAACAATGGGCCACAGTTCCTCACAATAACAATGAGGCCCAATGATGGGGCACAATTCCTCCTGATGACACCAACAATGAGGCCCAATGATGGGGCACAATTCCTTCTGATGACACCAACAATGGGGCCCAGTGATGGGGTACAATTCCTCCTGATGACACCAACAATGAGGCCCAATGATGGGGCACAAATTCTTCCTAATGACACCAACAATGAGCCACAGTTTCTTACAATGACACCAAGGCTGGCGTACCATTCTTACCATTGACACCAAAGAAGGGGCATGGTTTATTCCCACTGACGTCATGACCTTTTCTCCCTATGGCCACATTCCGGCCCCCTTAAAGTCTATAGGGTAATACACTGGCCCTTTGTTTCCAAAGTTTGGAGACCCCTGCCCTAGAGGATACCTCCACTGGCTCTGTGTGGATACCTTTCAAAGCCCTCAAATGGATAAAACTTCACTTGTACGAACTCTTGCTCCATAATTACTGGCGCACACTGCATCCCAACACGAAAGACTACACTTTTTTCTCCTCTCCACACAAAAAGTACTCTAGAATAGGAATACTTTTTTTTGACCCAGAATGATTTGCCTTTCTTGAAAACAGTGACCACTGAAGCAATGGTCATCTCAGACCATCACCCAATCACCATGATGATACAGTTTCCTGTACATCTTCACCGTACCAAATCCTGGAGATTAGATGTGTCACCTTTGACGGACTCCGTGAACATAACCCAAATTCTGAATTGTATGATGAACTTCTTTGCTAAAAACGATACACCAGACACCTCCCCCCCCAGTACAGTGGGAAACACACAAATGCGTACTATGAGGAATGTTTCTGAGTATAGCGGTGAAGCGTAAGAAAGATTAGCAAGCTGTCCTGTCAGCATTGCTGCACAAGTTGCAGTCACCAGAAACAACTCATAAATGTACTTTAGCCTCAGCGGCCCTAACGGAATTGCTTGATACATGCACAAAGTTACTAGAGGAACTAGGCTGCAAAACCAGGAAGAAATTTGTCCTTTCACAGAAACTCTTATGAACTGGGCAAGAAAAGTGGTAAACTTCTACCTAAAGCTATTCAAAATACAGGGAAATCTGGTCTCTACTACCCCAGAGATAGCACACCAATTCGAGACATACTACTTCAACCTATACAATTCACCATTCGTTCACAGACCGTCTTCTGACCAGAGGTCCAGAATGGAGATTACAGATGACTTTTTGACCAAATATAGTTCAAAACTGATATCTGAAGAAGTAGCGTGTAACTTAAACAATTCCCTGACTATGGAAGAATTTATCTTCGTAGTGAAACAATTGAAACCCAGAAAAAGCCCAGGGCCAGATTGTTACTCATAAGTCTATTATAAAACGTTCTCTGAAAGACTGGCATGTCCCTTTCTGAAGGCCTTTAGCTCTTTTGAACACCCTGATATGGATATGACCCACCTTTCGGAGGCCCATAGAACGGTCATCCCTAAACCAGGAAAAGACCCCACCCTAGTTACCAACTATCACCCAATTTCACTACTCAATGTAGATCTAAAAATTACGCAAAAATTCTAGCGAATAGGCTTCTAACGATTTACATTTATCATTACCAAAGATCAAGTTGGATTTGCACCGGGAAGGGAAGCTAGAGACAACACAATTAAGGCAATAAACATTCATCACTGGCTCACCACCTCTCAACAACCAGGCTTTTTTCTCTCTTTGGATGCGGAGAAGGCATTCGACAGATTAGCTTGGGACTACTTGCAATAGGTTCTTCAGAGGTTGGGTTTAGGAACCAGATTAATCAATTTTGTTATGGCCCTATACGCCAACCATACAGCCAGAGTGCGTGTTAATGGGAATCTGTCGGACGCCTTCTCCATCCACAACGACACATGTCAGGGTTGCCCCCTGTCCCCACTGCGCTTCATACTCACGCTAGAACCCTTCCTTAAGCGCATCCAGCAGAAAGATAACATCAAAGGCATCCAAGTCGCAACAAAACAATACAAATTAGCAGCTTTCGCGGACGATCTCCTGCTTTTTATCTGAACCTCATACTACTCTCCCCCAATCTACTGCAGGATTTTTCCCTCTTCCAATTCATTTCCAAGTTTAAAATCAACTTCGGCAAATCTCACTCGCTGAATATTACCCTGCCAGCGCCCGAGGCTAAGCTTTGTAGGAACAATTTCCCCTTTTCTTGGCAACTGGAGACCATCACTTACCTTGGTATCCAGTTGCCAAAGTGCCTCACTGAATTATTCACCAGAAACTATGTTCCACTTTTACACACTGTGACAGAAGATCTTAAAAGATGGGATAAGCCCATATTTTCCTGGTTTGGGAGAGCGGCAATTTTAAAAATTAATGTGCTCCCACGGCTTCTGTATATCTTACAGACCGTGCCAATTGAAATACCACAGACCTTCCTAAAAACTTACCAAAGGATATGGTCACGGTTCCTATGGTGCGCGAAGAACTACCAAATGACACTGCCAAAGCAGTTAGGGGGAATAGGACTCCCCAACCTTACGAAAATCTTCTGGGCGTGCCATATATCCAGAATAGTGGACTGGCATGTTCATGGTAAAATAAAAGATTGGATTAGCCTGGAAGCCTTCTTTTCGGATTTACCTTTACAGGCGATTCCGTGGCTGGCGAGCAAACACCTTCCTTCTGCCCTTAAAACGCACTCTTTGATCAAACCGATCATTCTCACCTTTCACGCTGCATGTAGGCATACTGAAATTTCCTCGATCCCAGGCCCTATGATCCCTATAAGAATGAATCCAGACTTTCCACCCGGTATGATGCCAAGATTTATATCTGACCTCTCACCAACTGATGTCATCCGGGCCCACCAGTTCTTTCATGCCAGGGTGCTACGGGATCGAGAATACTTCACTACGCAACAGCTAGCGATAAAAGTCTCCCTGTGGACTTACCTCCAGCTTTGCCACTTCCTTACATCTGCTCCCTACTTTATGTCTGTGTCTCGAAGTCTGACACCATTTGAAAAAATATGCTTGAAATGCGCTCCACAACAACATGTCATTTCCACTGTTCATGCTCTCCTGGACGCTCATATACCGGCGGATTCAGGATTAGCGTGTCCAAAATGGTCTAAGGACCTACAAACTGAATTTTCTCTTGAGAATTGGGAACATATATTTCACACACTGCATAAAGGTACGGTGAATGTATAGACCCAGGAAACTAATTAAAAACTGTTGTCCAGATGGTACCGAACACCAGATAGACTTCACAAAATTAATCCGGCCCTTCCGGACAAATGTTGGCGATGCCACCAGAATGAAGGAACTCTCCTGCATATCTGGTGGGAATGCTCAAGGATTCAAACTTTCTGGTTAAAAGTCCACACACTGATACATCAAATTACTTCTGACTCACTAGAGTACTTGCCTGCCCAATACCTACTGCACTACTCCACCTCATCTAGTCGGCTTATCATAAGTCACTAGCAATGTACCTGGTGAACGCAGCAAGGGTTTGTATACCAATACACTGGGGCTCCCCACTCGTTCCCTCACTCAAAGAATGGTTCAGACGGATAAACAGAACAGAGGAGATGGAGAAACTTGAATACACTGCTAAGGAATTACTTGGCTTTTCTGGGTTAATTTCAAATCTACTGAGACTTACTGAGCAATGGTCGACTAATGACATAATCTATTATTCATTAACAAATTTGCAGACTTTGACAATTCTTGGCGACTCGAGCAATAAATGTTCCTCTCCGGTCTGCTTACGATACATATGCCCCTTTCGTTTTCTCTTCCTCTCCTTTCTCTTTCCCTTCTATTAACTCCCTCTCTTTCCCCATCCCCCCCCCCCCAGCCTTTTTGGGGTGAAATACTTGTAGACCGGACACAAAGAACTGATTGAGGGAAGGAATTGGCCGCAGTGCAGAAAGTTTATTTAAAGCCCAGCATTAGTAGAACCCCTCAACCT